TCATTCGTTTCGTTGCTGCCGCTTACACCGTCGAACGCACAGTTCTTTGAACAGCTGCACCTGGACGGTGACGATGCAGTGAAACATGCCTTCAGCAGCACGACACGTCAAGTCGCTGACAGAAGGCATCGTCGAATGGAGGCCGGCTTTCATCGCATGAATCCAAACCTACCTTCCTATGTCATTTTCGTTATTGCTGTTTGTGATGCTTGGCGGCGTTCGCACACGAACGCAATGTTCAACCAATGAGCTGACTAAATAACGAAGTTCCACGTCGCCACTACCGTACTGGTTCTGAGGCGTCGTTTCGACCATCCGACAAGTGACTCAGTAAGTACTCTTCTTCCTCACTCGCATTCTAGGAGAGCTACCCTTCTTCGCCATCGCTCGTCATTCATTCAGAAAGTCACTTCGATGACTCCCGGCGATTTCCCGGTATACGGTCAGTCTGTCTGAAAATTCCTACAGTAGTACATTTTATATCAATATATTTTTTACAATTCCGTGTACCTTTCAACAGTGGGCTTTACGAGTCAATTGTCTCCACATGCTTTGATATTTGGTCACCAAAGGGTTGTTCCATTAGCTTGAACCTGTGGATGAGCTTAGTGACATTACATATTGCATTAATAAAGAATTGAAGTAAGAACCGAGCCAAGTAAAGTGTTCTTGAACTTGATTTTCTTCCTCTTCTTGTTGTTCTTCTTCCTCCTCTTTTTAGCATATTCCGTTTAACAATGTGCGCGGTTCGAGTAAGTTACTTTCATATTCTTTGATCCATATTCAGCTCTTCCGATGCTTCCTGTTGTTCCGTTTCGTTCATCAAAACAACGCATCACTTTTTGGTTAGTCGTCATCTCCCTTCCGGTGGTATCAGTGTGTGCCCCGCACTTCTGAGTCATCGTAAGGCTTTCCTTACACAAAGCCAATCGAGCCCTAACCCTTTACCGGTCAGCTTTCCGGTAGTCGAGACTAACATGTCCCTTATGAGGCAATTTCGAAAGAGTCGTTCCTACCGACACCACTGATTATTCATCTGAGCATATGTATCTCTAAGATGTTCGGCTGTGGTTCCTGTCGCCACATTCAGCTTCGATAATAATTCGATAAATATATAATATTGTCATTATTCCATGGATTTATCTCTGCAGTTTGACAGGAATCTTACCGTCACACACTATGCTGTTCATCTCTTTCTGAAAGAAGCTCCCTTTTTGAATCAATTTACTAATTCGCTGCTGATTTCCC